GGCTGATAAGTCACCTGAGATGATACAAGGTACGATTCAAGTTAATAATTACCTTGTGCATGCTATCTTTGACTCGGGTGCTAGCCACTCCTTTGTTTCATATGAATGCGTGAAGCGCATAGGCCTTGCTGTTAACACATCATTATATGATCTATGTGTGGCTCCTCCTATGGGCACCAAAGTTTACACGTCTGATGTTTGCCTAAATTGTATTATCCGGTATGGCCACTGTTGCACTACACTTGACCTAATATGTATGCCTTTTCATGAGATTGATGTGATACTTGGTCTGAATTGGCTGTCTACCCATAATTTGCTCCTTGACTGTAAGAATAAGACTTTGATTTTTCCTCCTCATGAGCTAACCCCTCGTACCGAGGTGAAACTGAACTTGATTATGAGAGCCCAAGCCAAGGATTGCCTAAGACATCGCTGTCAGGGGTACGTGGTATTCTTCTCTGTACATGCAGAAGTGGAAGAAGGCATAACAGAGATACCCGTGGTATGTGATTTTCTGGAAGTCTTTCCGACAGAAATTAGTGGGTTACCTCCGGAGCGAGAGGTAGAGTTTGCAATTGACCAAGTACCTGGGGCAGGGCCAATTTCCAAAGCCCCATATTGTATGGCTCCAAATGAAATGGCAGAGTTAAAGAAGCAATTAAAGGAACTATTAGAAAAGAATTTTATCCAGCCCAGTGTGTCACCATGGGGAGCACCCGTCTTGTTCGTCCGTAAGAAGGATGGTAGCCTAAGGTTATGCATTGATTACCAGGAGCTCAACAAAGTGACGATTAAAAACAAGTACCCACTACCTAGAATAGACGATTTGCTAGACCAATTAGCTGGTGCCACAATGTTCCCCAAGATTGACTTGAGATCAGGTTACCACCAACTGAGGATTAAAGCAGAGGACATTCTGAAGACCGCTTTTTGAACACGGTATGGGCACTATGAGTTCTTGGTAATGCCCTTCGGACTAACAAATGCCCCTACGATTTTCATGGATTACATGAACAGGATCTTTCGACCATATCTAGATCAGTTTGTGGTGGTTTTCATTGATGATATCTTAGTATAGTCCAAGTCACCAGCGGAGCACGAACAGCATTTACGGATCATTCTAAGTATTCTGAAGGAGAAACGGCTATATGCCAAACTCAGCAAGTGTGAGTTTTGGCTGATGAAGTAAAGTTCTTGGGTTATGTGATTACCCAAGATGATGGAGTAGCAGTAGGTCCTAGTAAGGTGGAAGTAGTTTTGAGTTGGGAGTACCAAAACAGTAACAGAAATATGAAGCTTTCTGGGATTGGCAGGTTACTATAGAAGATTATTAAAGATTTTTCGAGAATTGCACAGCCCCTGACTAAAACTTACACGTAAGAACTAGCAATTCTTGTGGGATGATAAGTGTGAGGCTAGCTTCCAAGAGCTGAAATGAAGGTTGACCTCGATCAAGGTGTCACCAGATGGAATATTGAAGTATAAGGAACGGGTATATGTTCTGGAGTCCATCAGGCAACAATTATTGGAGGAAGCCCATAAGAGCAAATACGATACACCCGTGAATGACGAAGATGTACCAGGACCTCCGACATATGTTTGGTGGCCTAGCATGAAGAAGGACATAACAGAGTATGTATCTAAATGCCTCACTTGCTAGAAGGTCAAAACGGAGCATCAGAGACTGTCAGGGCTTTTACATCCTCTAAATATTCCAGAATGGAAATGAGATAGTATCTCCATGGATTTCATCATGGGGTTACCTCGTACCTCATCTGGATATGACACGATATGGGTGATTATTGATCGATTAACGAAGTCTGCCCATTTTCTGGCAATGAAGAAAGACTACCAACCAGAAAAACTTGCTAAGTTATATATAAGAGAAATTGTGAGATTACATAGACTGCCAGAGTCGATTGTATCTGACCGAGATCCTCGGTTTTATCCCGATTCTGGAAGGCACTGCAGCAAGCAATGGGCACCAAGCTGAGTTTCAATACAGCGTATCACCCACAGACAGACGGTCAAACAGAGCGAACCATACAGACACTGGAAGATATGTTGAGAGCCTGTGTGTTGGATTTCAAAGGTAATTGGGATGACTATCTGCCATTGGCAGAATTTGCTTATAATAACAGTTATCACTCCAGTATACAAATGGCTCCGTATGAAGCTTTGTATGGTCACAAGTGTAGATTCCCACTATGTTGGACAGAATTAGGGGAGCGAAAGCTATATGGGCCAGACCTAGTCGAGCAAACAACTGAAAGGATAAGGTTGATTAGACAGAAACTGCTCACGGCCCAAAGCAGATAGAAAAGTTATGCGGCGGACGTTGGTGAAAGCCTTTGACCTTTGATATAGGAGACCATGTGTTCTTGAAAGTGTCTCCGACAACGGGAGTAGGAAGGTCTTTGAAATCGAAGAAATTATCACCAAAATACATCGGACCTTTCCAGATTCTATCGAAAGTAGGACCGGTGGCATATAAAGTAGCCCTACCCCCGAATCTTAGTCAGATACATGATGTCTTCCATGTATCCCAGCCAAAGAAGTATCAGCCAGATCCCTCTCATGTTTTAGAATATGAAGATATCACACTGCGAGATGACCTAACCTAGGAGATCAAACCAGTAAAGATCATTGATCGTCAAGTAAAACAGCTGCGGCGAAAATCTATCCCAATGGTTAAAGTCATTTGGGAGAATCTGGCACAAGAAGAAGCAACATGGGAGAGGAAGAGACGACATGAAAGATAATTATCCCGAGCTCTTCAAATAAGGTACGCTTTAAATTTTGAGGACGAAATTTATTTTAAGGGGGAGGGAAATGGAACATCCCAAAATTTGGAACCCTAGTAATGGGAGTGTGCGAAATGAGATATGATTGATAAGCATAAGGTGTGAATAAAGCATGAAAACCCAAAATGGGACGAAACCGACTTTATCGGGTCCCTAGGGGCAAAACGGTAATTTGGAAAAAGTTTCCAAAAATTACTTAAAAATAGAGAAAAGTGGAATTAGAGGTTTTGAGTCACACATGATGTTTTGGGAGTGAGAATAGCCCAAAATAAATTTTGGTGAAAATTCCCAAAAAAAAATTATTTTGGGAAAATAGGGAAAAATAAAGGGAAATTAAAGTGATAAAATTATTTTAATTATCTAAGGACTCCAAAAATCCAAGGAAAAATATGCATACACTCCCTAGGAATATATATGAATTTATAAAATTGTTTCCAAGCATTGGATTGACAAAAAAAAAGAGCAACAAATAAGAGCAACAAAAGAGACAACAAATATAGTCTGCACATAAGTTTTCAAAGCATATTGAGAGAATAGATAGTTTTTGTGCAAATTTGAAGAGACTTACATCTAAAATGAACAACTTGTATTACATATTGTATAAATTAAAATAAAAATACAAGAGACATAATTACACAAAGTTACTATTTTAGAAAACAAAACTATCTATTCCCACTTTAAAAAAACAATTTATTACAGAGATTGTACGCATGTTATGAGGTACTATGCCTAGTTTTACAAAAAATGTCACATTTGTTATAATTAACTAATTTATTAACTTTTTTAATTTGTTCAAATTAGTTAAGTGACTCATTTATTAACAACTAGAAGAAATATCAAACAATATGATGAATGACTTTTTGAGGAATAGATTGTACTATACTTCCTTTTGTTCTTGTTACATGTACTTCAACAGATTTCATGATATAACATTTTGTCTTATCTAAGGTATTAGCCTTTTGAATTAATTCCTAACCGGTTAACTCATCTTCTCTAACTAATGATTTTTATCGAGTGTAATTTTGATATTTATATGAAATAATTGATTTTACCTATATTAATTTACGAAAAATTATTATTAAGTGTTCATTAGACCAAGAGAGTATATACTTGACTAAACATACATGACACCAATTTTGGTGCTCATCTTTAAGTTCATCTCCTTTAACCGTCCAAATTTAATATTTTTAATTAATTATTGGATAATTTTTTTTTAAAAAAGTAATGGTTACTAATAATCATTTTATTTTAGATTATACACTTATTAAAATAATTATTTTAGAAAAAAAAAAATATTAAATATGGACCGTCCAAATCATCTGGGCAATCCAAATGGGATGGGTTTTGGTGTTTAACTTTAAAATGAGCATTAAAACTAATTCCAAGTATTTTATTCCCATCATTCGCAATTGACGAACCTTTTTGTCTTTTGCACAACAAAAAACAATTATTTTATGTAAATATTATCAGAAATAGAAAAAAATTATAAGTTTGCCCTCATATATATATATATGTGTGTGTGTGTTGGAATCATGGTATTGAAACCCAGATCAGATTGGCTGATTCAGACTGGAAACTGGTGAACCGATCTGGTTGAGAATTAAAACCGGGGGCCAACTAACCTGGTGTGACTCGGACCAACCCGGGGCAAACTGATAGTGACCCAGGTAACTCGTTCAATTTGGGAGGTTAACTTGGGTCCCCTCTTTTTTTGTTAAAAAAAATATTTGGATGATTTTTTTTACAAAGTTGTTGATAATTAGGACTTAGTAATTATAATTATAAGGAGGAATATTTTGTTAATTATCATATATCTATTTTGATGATTTTGTTAGGATGAATACTTAGTGATTTTAGTAGTATGATATTATAAGAAATTGTAAGTGTGATTATTTTACTAGTAATTCAAGATCTTAAATTGATATCTAGTTCTTAGTGAAAATTAAATTATTTTTTTATTTTTTATTTTTTACTGGTTTGACCCACTGTTTGACTTTGGTCTGACCTACTGACCCTTAACCCACTGTTTTGACCGGTTTAATTTCTAGGTCGGTTTTCAGTGCCTTGTAAAATATAAGATAGTTGGACACAAAACAATAATAATAATAATAATAATATTGGATAAATAGCAAGGCAACCACCAGAATAACAGCCACGTTCCTATTCATTCAGGTGTCTCTCTACTTGACTCTCGAATCATTTATCAGCGTTACAGGCTCAACTCATTTATGGAGACCACTGTCATATAACATTCCCATCTCTCTCCACTTGACCACCACCCTCCTCATCCATGGCAGACGACCAGCCTCCTCCACCGGTGCCGGCACACCCAAAAGGCTATAAATTGACCGCCTCTTCAATCTCCTACGCCAAAAGCACCGCCACGATTCCACCATTCTTACATCTTTTCAATTGCTGTACCACAACAATCCCTCCTTCTTACATCCTCAATCATGTTTCCCTCACAGCCTACCCCTCCCAAATCCTCGCCATTGTCGGCCCAAGCGGCGCCGGCAAGTCCACCCTTCTCGACATCCTCCTCGCCGCCACCCGCACTTCCGCCACCTCGGGCGTTCTCCTCCTCAACTCCTCCCCCTTTAATCCTTCATCATTCCGGAAGCTATCTTCTTACGTCCCACAAGACGACGCCTGCCTCCCCCTCCTCACTGTCGCGGAGACGTTTGCCTTCGCCGCCCGCCTCCTCCAGCCCAAGCCCTTCGACACCGCTCCTCTTTCTCGCGACCTCGGCCTCAGTCACTTAGCTCATACTAGGCTCGCCGATGGGCTTTCCGGTGGCGAGCGAAGACGGGTCTCCATCGGCCTCAGCCTTCTCCACGACCCGGCTGTGTTGCTTCTCGATGAGCCCACCTCTGGTCTTGACAGTACCAGTGCTTTTAACGTCATGCAGATTCTAAAATCAATCTGTGTTTCACGTCACCGAACCATTGTGCTATCTATTCACCAGCCAAGTTTCAAGATTCTATCTGTCATTGACAGAATCTTACTTCTTTCCAAAGGATCAGTGGTTCATCATGGAACTCTTGCTTCACTTCAGAGTTTTCTTCACACTAATGGCTTCTCTGTGCCTCCTCAGCTCAATGCTTTGGAATATGCCATGGAAATATTGAACCAACTTGATGAGCTTGAACCCATGAACATCGCTCCTGATGAAGAAAGTCGTGGGAATTCTCCATCTAAGAATTTAGCCACCACTACTACAAGAAAGATGATCCGATATAGGAGCTCAAGAATCCATGAAATCTGTGCTCTTTACAGGAGATTTTGGAAGATCATTTACAGAACAAAGCAGTTACTTTTGACCAACACAATAGAAGCACTTCTCGTTGGCCTTGTCCTTGGAACCATTTACATCAACATTGGCTTCGACAAGGAAGGGATCGAGAAAAGGTTCGGTCTTTTTGCCTTCACTCTCACTTTCCTCCTTTCTTCCACCACTGAAACGCTTCCGATCTTCATCGGAGAGAGACCGATCTTACTGAGAGAAACATCAAGTGGGGTCTATAGGCTATCCTCTTACAATCATCGCCAACACACTCGTTTTCCTGCCATACCTACTGGTTATTGCTGTTATTTACTCTATCCCAGTCTACTTCTTAGTGGGTTGTGTGCTTCTTGGCTTTCTTTCGCTTACTTTCGTTCTGGTCATTTGGCTCATAGTTCTAATGGCTAATTCATTCGTCCTTCTTCTGAGCTCTATTGCGCCTAACTACATTTCTGGGACTTCGCTGATGACAGTGCTTCTTGCTGCGTTTTTTCTGTTTTTCTGGCTATTTCTTCATCTCCAAGGATAGCTTACCCAAATACTGGCTTTTCATGTATTTCTTTCTATGTACAAGTACGCTCTTGATGCTCTTCTCATAAACGAATACTCTTGTTTGTTCACGAGGTGCTTCATATGGTACGAACAGAATGATGGAGAGTGTATGGTTAACAGGAGGAGATGTGATGAACAAGAGTTCGGTCTTTTTGCCTTCACTCTCACTTTCCTCCTTTCTTCCACCACTGAAACGCTTCCGATCTTCATCGGAGAGAGACCGATCTTACTGAGAGAAACATCAAGTGGGGTCTATAGGCTATCCTCTTACATCATCGCCAACACACTCGTTTTCCTGCCATACCTACTGGTTATTGCTGTTATTTACTCTATCCCAGTCTACTTCTTAGTGGGTTTGTGTGCTTCTTGGCTTTCTTTCGCTTACTTCGTTCTGGTCATTTGGCTCATAGTTCTAATGGCTAATTCATTCGTCCTCTTCTTGAGCTCTATTGCGCCTAACTACATTTCTGGGACTTCGCTGATGACAGTGCTTCTTGCTGCAGTGCTTCTTGCTGCGTTTTTTCTGTTTTCTGGCTATTTCATCTCCAAGGATAGCTTACCCAAATACTGGCTTTTCATGTATTTCTTTTCTATGTACAAGTACGCTCTTGATGCTCTTCTCATAAACGAATACTCTTGTTTGTTCACGAGGTGCTTCATATGGTACGAACAGAATGATGGAGAGTGTATGGTTACAGGAGGAGATGTGATGAACAAGAGGGGACTCAGTGAGGCACAGAGATGGACTAATGTGTATGCCTTGCTTGGTTTCTTTGTTTTGTATCGTGTGCTTTGTTTGTTCGTGTTGATCAGAAGGGTTTCCAGATCCAAAAGTTAGAAATTAAGCATATGTATAGTTGAAAATTGAAATTACGTTTTTTTTCCCCAATATCAACTTGTTTAAGTTGATTGATCTCGGCTTGTTTTGTTTCAACTGGTTTTGCATGGTTTGTATATTTTGATCATACACAGCCATAAAGAAAGTATATTTCATTGATATGAAGAGTGATGTTTCTGTTTCGTCCGATAAAGTTGTGGGCGAGACGTACTTGAGAATTGATGTTTCATTTTTGTCCCACAACGACCATGTATACATATTTTTGGAAGGATACAAGATCTGGCAATTTTCCTTGACCTAGTCTAGTCCACTAACGAACCTTCACTATAAGATGATAATATGATTTAAAGTCTAATTAATTATAAACTAATGTATAAATAGCTGTATTTACTAAACATAAAATACTAATCTGGCTAAAAAATTCCTGCTTGTTAACCAAAAGATGCGTGTTTGATATTTTTTCCGTAGAATATGCAGTACTATAAATCTCGTTAATGAATAAATAAAATAAATATGTTTTTTCAAACCTAGCTCTGTGAAAAAGAATATGTTATTTCTCTGAGTGGAAGAAACAGAGAATCACGGATTTCTTCACATGCAAATAATTTGACAGACAAGACAATCTGATGGAGTTGTGGCTTAGTGGAATCAGTAAGGTGGACCCCACTGAATTATTTTGTTTGTTTGGATGTGGTATATTGGTTATAGATTTTAAGTTAATCTTAACATCAACATTAAATTAATTTATATTAATCATATTTGTCAAAGATAAAAATATTATTTTAAACATGACCAAAATAACTGTCATTTTCTCATCCATATATACCTCGAATAAATGCTGACAAGAGAAACTGAGTTGGGGAGGCTTGAAAAAGCAAAAAGAATGAATAAATTCATAGCGAAGGGCACAAAGGATCAAGACGTCCTATTCAATTCTGAAATTATTATTATTATTTTTATATATAAGGCTGTCTTTGAGTCACGGGTCTGTTTAGTTAATGGAGAAGGGACTGAGGAAGAAACCAACGTGTCTGGCTCATCATGAAAGGGTTTTTGTCGCTTAGCTTTGTTACTACTTAATATACTGCTCATGCTCACGGATTCTTGATCTGTTATCAGACCCGTGAGCTCTTCCTTTAATCTTTCTTCAAGTACAAATAAGTATTCGACTAAAAAATGTGTTTAGTAGAAGATTAAATGTAAAAAATTTTCTATCCACACCCATTTCATATCAAATGTCAATTAATGTCCAGATTGGCATGAAAGAATTGTTCAGGTGGAGAGGGAAAAGGATGCGCAATATGAAAATTAGTCTGTTTGGTGGACACTATGGGCCTATCTTGGGAAGGCCCATTACAGCATTTGATGGGAATTGGGAAGGTTCATTCCCTTGGTTGGTTTTTCTTCCCTTTTCTTTTCTTTTTGTTTTTTTGGGCGTTCGATTTTAGGCGTGGGCTACGAAAGGAGGGATCGTTCCTGGAGATTTCTCATCTCAACTTTACCCACGCATCCCTAAAATCTAATAAACTAATTTGACAAGCACATGTGACTTGTGAGTAGGAGGAGAAGCTTGAGAGGATACAAATGTACTTGATAAATATAAATTTATGTTATTTTGGCATGTTTTATCTTTTTTTTGGGGTCTAAATATAAAGGAAAGACTTGTTGGATGACCTTGTTTAGGTGATAACAAGATTGGTAGAAAGATTATTTTGTAGGTTTAATTACAAATATCATGAGAAAACAATCAAGTGCTATAACATCTTCAATTTGTATCAAATAACTTACCATATAGAAGTAAAAGGAATCATCTTCAATGGCCAAAAGATTGAAAAATCAAGAATTGAAAAATTTATTTCTCGGGCTACTATTGACAGCAACTAAAAAATTTGCCAAATTTTGAAAATTGGTAATTAATTCTAGAAAAATCAAAATTGAGTGATTCTAAGTTCTATTGGAAGCTTTTTGGATTATCTTTTGAGGGGGAAAAAAGCACTAGTCGATTTTCCTTTATATTTGGGCCTAGTTTAATTCCCAAAAGTTACTGTTCATTTGGCTATTTTCTAATTTTCTAGTATTTTTGCTTAATTTTGGAATAACATAACTCTTAGTACACACATTCATTCTGAATGAATTACCACTCATTTTAAAGAGAAAAATGAGATCTATTTACATGCAAAATTTCAAGGACAAACTCCGTCATTTGACTAGAAGCACATTGGTCAAAGTTTTGCCCTAATATGTTGACTTTGATTCCTCAATCACTTTGATCTTGCACACTTTGACCATAGCTCTCTAGTTCATCCGTCTACTTGTGCCTTTGGGTCTAATGACATACCATAACATATATTTACATCAAGATATCATAGGGAGACGTTTCTATAAAGGTAATTACACAATTCATATAATTCATAAGAAAGGTTCAAGGCCATATTTCATTCCATAAAACTCATTATTTCTTCAAGCATTTGCTACCTCCTTGCCCTTTCCTTTTGATGTAGTAGTCCCTAGGGAATTATTGGAATATAGGGTCTAAGATTCATGGGAACCGTAGTAGCATAGCATTACATTCAAAATGTCACACAAGTAAGTTATCACATGCTATGTGTTTCTAGCTGTCACATGCTTTAACCTTAGTGCACATGCCATGGAAAGGAACAATATGCTTTCTCATTCATCATACTCAACATTGCATAAGCCAAGACATTTCATGCATAGAGTTATACATCACACAACATGATAAGCTCATCCATATCATGGCATAGTAATATAGAATAACACATGACATTAAACACAATGCATGGTATTATCTAAATGGTAATTGCTGGCTACCTCTTTGAGAGCTTATCTTTTTGTCTTCATGCTCTTCCCCTTAACAAATCTCCCTCCCTTTTGATGTAGAACGTATTAGTAACATAATAGGGCATAACACATTTTTACATTATTCATCGTAATAACCCTTAATCCCTTTTGACTTGATTTTTTAGGTTATTATTTCTAGTTTTGATTCCTTAATTTTCTTAAACCAGTCCTACATAATTTTTCATATAGATTCCAAATATCAACTTAGATTTATAAAAATCCAATTCCTCCCTATTGAAACAAGCTTGGCTGAAACATGGGGGAAATGGTTCCAAAATTTTCACTTTCAATTTTAATGCTTCCAAGCTTCCTTTCTTAGTGAAAGAATACACCATTTCATTATTTAAACACATCGGAAGTATCAAATTGAATTGAATCCAACTCTAACCCCTATTTCTGTTCTTGGCCAAAACAATGTATAAGGTTAAGGGATTGGATTTTCTTTCCAAAACTCAAGCATAACTAATCAATTCCTACCCTTTTTAAGTGTTTAATCCATGTTTTAATCTCTTAGATATTTTCCCTCTATTTTTTTTTTGAAAATTTGGCAGCACTTCCCCTTAAGGAAATGGCCACCAAATCAACATCAATTCATCATAAAAATAGTCCCACATAACATCGCAAGAGGCATAGAAGCTTACCTTGATGATTGCTTGAGCTTGGGTGGATTCTCTCTCTCTAGGGTTTTCTCTTCTCTCTCTTAAATTTCAAGAACAAAAAGGTCTCCCCAATGGTTCCTCTTGGCTAAAAATGTGAGTATGGGAGAGGTTATTTATAGCAATTTGATTAACTCTTTGCCTTAAAATTTCAATAAAATTACAAGGGGTATGTGGGCAAATCCTAGCTCTTTATTTTTCTTCCAAAAATAATAAAAAATAAAATAAAAATAATAGACAAATCCTATGCTTCAAGAATATGGTCTTGCCACCTGTCCATGTGATGTCATGGTGATGATGTCATATACTTATGTCATGCCAACATTAATTAGCTTAATCTTAGTTAACTTCCTTAATCACCATGATTAACTCCCTTAATCATCCATTTAGAATTCTCCATTTTTTTTTCATTTTCCAATTAAATAAATTCCCCTCTTTTGGGCCATTTTAGGCTTGATATATGGGCCTTTTGGACTGAAAAAATTTGCCAAAAAAAAAAAGCCCTAGGTATCCTTACATTACACTAGCACCGGTGCAACATTAGATAAATTTTTCCTATATCTTGCCTAATCCACTGCCTTAGAAAATTTATCTCAATACACTATTAACCTCCTCTCAGTGTAGAGAAGTTTCATGATTTTTCTCAGGATTAATTCGAGCAAAATCAGCATTCTACCATCAATAATTATGCTTTAAATATTATTAAAGCTAACTTCCTCATCATTTGAAGTCAAGAACAATTTTATAAATTATGATAATCCTTGCAAAAAAATTATATTTTTTTTCAAAATTAGTAGGGCCTCTAGATATTTCAAATAATTAGCTTTAGTTACCTTTACTCATTTTAACCAAAAATCCCTAAAAATATAGAAAAATCTATATTAATTCATTTTTCTTTTAATAATTCCTCTAGGGCCTCAGACACCATCCCTTGACCCTCAATTCTATTTTACATGATTTTTCAGGAAATTTTGGGAATTTCTAACATAGCTTCTCACTCAGTTCTTTCTTTAACTGACATTTCAAAAATAGCAGTCAAGACACTCTCCGAGTTTCAATTCAAAACTTGGGAGATCTATATCCCCTCTACACTTGATCTATTTTATTTCTCTCATATCCAGGGTTAAAATTTGTAACATGTTGCATTTCCTACCCTTTTTAAAAATTTTGTCCTCAAAATTTCAAGACTAAACCTCTTCCCAAATTGTTTTTTAGAGTTTCTTAGGGAGGACACTCCTTTTGCTAGATTTCATTTTTGGGACATATACTCATATATTATGTCATCCATCCTTCTTCTGTGCATTTACACGACTAAATCCGTGTTTCTGGACATGCTTCCTTTCTTTAGGCATATTTACCTATCATTGTGCCTTAACAATCTTCTTGTCCTCATGGTATCTTACTATATCATGACACTTTGGGATTTCCCTTACTTTGGATACTTCCCATATTTCCATATCTTAGACCCCCCTTTGCTTTGCCTTTGAAGGGTCCGTTCCACTTTTATTACCCTAGCAGCTTTATCTAAAGGATTCACTGCCTTCCTTTCTCATTTCTCTTGCCTGAATACTTACCATCCAGGAGTTACAGTTCCCTTCTTAATTCTTACTATGCTTTCCTTTCTTTATTGACAGAATGGAATCGAGTTTGGTCCAATCAACAACAAGCGTATCTAGAGACTAGTCAAGGGCACTCTCTGTGTATTAGCTACTCATCTTAAGGAAGTTTCCATATCTTAAACTCATCCC